AAATATTACGATCTAATTCCGTCTATATATTTAATAAACTGGCCACCGAACCTTCAAGTGAGCCCAGTCGCCGAAATCTGCAAACTCCAGCGTGCGACGTGAGGCGCAATCGTCAGCGCAGTCAATGCGACGGAGTTGGAGCGGCCAACGTTGAGCCACTACGTCAGAGGCATGACTACGTTATTCTCACGTTTGGTTTGTTTTTACTTCTCAGAGCGAAATTGAACGATGACGTCATGAGTTTCTCCCGGTGTTGGCTGAACGGCGTCTACGTGATCACCGTAACGCGGAGGCGCTAGTTTGCGCTGCCCTGCGCGCTTATCAGTCTGTTTCTCCGCTCCCCCTCTCCTCTTTCTCCTCTCCCCCTCTCCCCCGGGCAATCACCGTCCACGCCATGCACCATAGCCATGCGAAGCGACCTGCACGTGTCGCGTGTCCTGTCCCTCGCCCCCACGAACGTCACAAGACCACCTGGTTCGACGAGACGTGGCCATGACTCTGACTACACGAGACCAACGTTGCTTGACGCAACCGAAGTTTCGGTTTCAGCTGATGGTTAAATTAAGATTACACAAATTGCATGTGTGACACTGTATCACCCCACTCCTGCCTTGGCCCTATATTGGGCTGGCAGTATTGATAAATAAATAAATAATATTCCACATTTCGTGGATCCGAGGACGTAGAGCTGTTTAGTAGTGCTTTGTGAAATGAAATCAGATGCAAGCTTACATTTTTCGGAATTGAGCGGAGTTGCGCTTTGATTCACACACTTGCGTTTGACTACAACCGACTGAGACAAGACCGGTTTTCAAGCCTCTTGTGACTGCTTACGACCGGCTGCACAGCAGTGCAGAAAGTTGTAAACCCTCACAAAAGGCTTACAACAGGTTTCTTTGGTCATAAGCAGTCACAAGCATGCGGACCAGCCGTTACTTCAGTACCATAAACCGCAGCAGCTGAAAGAAACAACGGAGTAAAAGTAGAAACTGCACACCTTTTTTTTTAATATTCAAGACTGAATATTGGTCACACATCAACTTTTGGCACGATTATATCTTCCAGGTAGACAACAGAAGTATCAAAGGAAAACAATCAAGACATTTTTACATACATATTAGACCTCGCCTCAATAAGAATACATCGAGCAACTTCAAGGGAGCTTGGAACAAGAGCTAGAAAATGACCCAATGTACATTGAGGTGCAGAACATAAAGTAGCTGCTTTGAAATTCATTAAACAATTTCTCCTATTCATTAACCAGCCTCTAGATCACAGCTGGAGAAGAATCGTTTCCTACGCACCAATACATTTCTGCGATGACAAATGATGGCATTCGGAGGAAAGGCTGCAGAGCATTGCCAAAGAGTCTGACTGTGTAGCCAACCAGGCTGGAATAATGATGGAAACTTCTTGGATATTGCTGGCATTTGAAAGGCCTACCTGCTGCAGGCTTTACGCAAATGCCCTTAAGGTTTGTTAACCTAATGCATTAGCATGTGCCTGATGAGGCAAGGCCGTTTAGAAAATGGCCTGGAATGCTGCTCGGATTTGTGAGGCTTCTTACGCATACGCGCTTCCTTGCGGTGAGCTTCACTATTAAGCTGAGCAAATGCCTTGGGACCTATTTTGCACTCAGTTATATGCATACTTTGATTGAAAAGGCATTGTTTTGCACGAGCTAAATGATTAGACATGGGGCAGACTCAAATTACGGGTCAACCGCAAGGCATTCCACACGTGTGCATTGGGTTCTGGCGGACAAACAACTAAACTGAGCAAAGCTTTTGGCCATTGTTTGCACTTCTACGGTTTTTAAGGTGATACGAGTCTTTTAACCTTTTTATTTTTTAATTATCTCGCTGAAATTCAGTATACTGATGTATTTCTCATTGGCGATTTTAAACATACAATTAGTTTTCAGATAGCTTTACTAGATCCTGAGTTATCATAAATATGGAATTTTAATTAGGTCCTTCTTACGGGTCACTAGCATCTAATTAAGGCTTTAGAACTAATTAATTAGAATTATTGTATGACATAAAGCAAAAGAAATAGCATCACAGCACAAAGCATATCTTGGTGAATGCAATTCTATAAGCAGTTGACATAATCTAAAGAATTTTACGCTAACGACCCGTAATGAGGGCCTAATTAAAATTACAAATTTAATGATAGCTCAGGATCTACAGGTTTTCCCACTCACTTTAATCCAAGCGACGACAAATTTAATCCCGGGGTCACTCAGTTTAATCTTAGCGCCATACAATTTAATCCAAGCACCACACAATTTAATCCCGGGGTCAGTCAATTTAATCCACAATATATATATGCACTTATTGTGTTAAGTGGTCGTGTTTCGCTTACAGATTTGGTAACTTAAAACAACTGTTTACACAATTAGAGTTTTTGGCGGGCAATTAATAATTTGATCACTAATGTGATTACTTTGAGTTACTAGTCCCACTATTGACGAGGCTTAATTGATATATTGGTTACTCTTTTTAGAGCACAGTTCTTTGGCACCCCTCTCCGGCTTGAGCGGTGTCGCCTTCGACGTAACCACGCGGTGCATGTAGGGTAAATTTCCCTGCTAAATTTAGCGCAAAATGTTCCCCGCTAAACCTAGCAGAAAATTTACTCCACTAAATTTAGCCCAAATTTTAGAGCGCAGTTCTTAGGCGCCCGTTTCCGGCTTGAGCGGCGTCGGCGTAATTAAGGTCACCCCAAGGTCACATGACCCCTCCCAAGGTCACGTGACCCCCCCCCCCCCGAGGTGACCCTCCAAGGTCACGTGGCCCCCTCCCCGAGGTCACGTGACCCCCTCCTCCCCCCGATGTCACGTAACACCCCCCCGAAGTCACGTGACCCCCTCCCCCCGAAGCATATTAAAGAATGAAGGGAGGAGGAGAAGGAGGAGGAGGGGTCTACACTCCTCTCAGTACCCTTCCCTCCTTCTTGTACGAAGCAGCACGCATCAGCCAGAATGGCGATTCGGAATGCCCGCATTTTATTCCCTCGTGCCCCCGTGTCCGTCGTGTCTTTCTCTTCTTCCAGTGGTGCCATCGTTAACTAGCTGCCGCATCTCCTTTCTCAAAAAAAAAAGAGTTAAGAGATCTGTGTAAGTCTAAATATCGTGGTCATGTCCATATCTTTGTGGTGGCCTTCTATCCCTTGTTCCTCTTCAAAGCAGCGGGCGCGGAACAGACTCAACTTGGCCCTCGTTTACTGGCTCTGTAGCCTCGAAGGTCGTCTTTCGGAGGGATTGTGCCACTGGTCTTAAGTGTTCGCGTGTCCTCCGAAGCACTTGGCCTTCTAAAGTCTGAATGTTGTAGGATCTTGACGCGGAATGGCCCACTACTATGGCAGGTGACCACGTATGCTTGAGGCTGTTGTAGACGGTAGTTTGAGAACCTGTTTCAATATCTGCTAGTGCTCGAGAGGACTTGTCATAGCTAGCCTTCTGTTGTTGCCTTATTTTTGTGAGGCGTTGTGACGGCTTTGGGCGGCACGATAACAGGTAGGTAATGATCAAGCCTGGTGGGCAACAGCGTTCTTGTAAGCCGGCTCATCAGTCTTTGTACAGGTGATTGGAGGACCTCGTCTCGTTGAGTGTTGCGCCATTCAAGAAGTGCATAGTAAAGCTCTTCCATGTTTGCATTTTTTCTCAGCAATTGTTTCGCCTGCCTCACGGCTCGTTCGGCCATGCCATTTGATCGGTCAAGGTAAGGGCTTGAAGTTACTTGCTCGATCTTCAAGTTTTTTAGGAACTCTTTGAAGTCGTGGCTCCCAAACGACAAGCTAGAATGGCGATTCGGAATGCCTGCTCTTTATTCCCTCGTGCCCCCGTGTCTCTTCTTCCATTGGTGCCATCATTGACTAGCTGCTACACACCTCAAGAGCTGCGTTCCAATTCGGCGTTACAGGGAGTTGTAAACGGCTTTCACTTTTTTCCCGGTAAATCTAGCGGAAAATTTCCCCCGTTAAATTTAGCGGGAATATATGCTCGCTAAGTTTAGCAAAGCATTTTCCCCGTTAAATCTAACGAAAAATTTTCCCCGCTAAATCTAGCGGAAACATTTCCCCGCCAACGTTCGCGGAATACTTTTCCTGCTAGATCTAGCATAAAAGTTTTCAAGCTGTATTTACCGGAGAAAATTTTCCCCTAATTTAGTGGGAAAAATTTTAGGTTTAGCAAGAAACTTTTTCGGCAGATTTGGCGGGGAAAATTTTCCGCTAGATTTAGCAAGGAAATTTTGCCGCTAAATAAAGCGGGAAAAAATTATCCGCTAGATCTTGCGGGGAAAAGTTTTGCGCTAAATTTAACAACGAAAATTTTCCGCTATATTTAGCGGGGAAAATTTTCTGCTAGATTTGGTGGAAAAAATTTTGTGCTAAATTTAGCGGGGAAAATTTTCGCTAAATATAGCGGGAAAAGATTTCCGCTAGATCTAGCGGAGAAAATTTTCCTCTAAATTTGGCGGGAAAAATTTTCCACTAGATTTGGTGGGAAAAAAATTCTGCTAGTTTTAGCGAGGAAATTTTTCCGCTAAAATTAGCCCGGGAATTTACCCATCATGAACCGCGTGGTTACGCCGACGGCGACACTACTCAAGCCGGAAACGGGTGCGTAAGCTAAGAGCTGCACTCTAAAAAGAGTAACCAACATATCAATTAAGCCTTGTCCATAGTGGGACTAGTAACTCAAAGTAATCACATTAGTATCAAATTATCAATTGCCCACCGAAAACTCTAATTGTATAAACAATTGTTCTCTGTTACCAAATGTGTAAGCAAAACATGACCACTGAATAAAATAAGTTCATAAATATATGTTGTGCATCAAATTGACCGACTCCGGGATTAAATTGTGTGGTACTTGGATTGAATTGTATGGCGCTTGGATTAAATTGAGTGACCACGAAATTTAATTGGTCGTCGTTTGGATTAAAATCAGCGGGAAAACCTGTAGTAATGCTATCTGAAAACTAATTGCGTATTTGAAATCACCATTGAGAAAGAGATCAGTATCCTAAATTTCGGCACGATAAATGAAAAATTTAGAAAAACTTAAAGACCCTTGTTTCCCCTTAAACACTGTTTTCGATAATAGAGGATAAGACTAGCATTATGAGAGAAGGCTTTGGGGGCACTGCTTGCACTTAAATGACTTTTCACCTGTATGCATTCGATTATGGTTTTGTAGAGAGGAATTTTGAGCAAAGGCTAAGGGGCACTGCTTGCACTTAAATGGCTTTTCACCAGTGTGTGTTCGATTATGATTTCTCAGACCAGAATTTTGAGCAAAGGCTCGGGGGCACTGCTTGCACTTAAATGGCTTTTCACCAGTGTGTGTTCGATTATAAATTCTCAGAGTCGTATCTTGAGCAAAGGCTCTGGGGCACTGCTTGCACTTAAATGGCTTTTCACCTGTGTGTGTTCGATTATGTCTTTGGAGAGAAGAATTTATAGCAAAGGCTTGGGGGCACTGCTTGCACTTAAATGGCTTTTCACCAGTGTGTGTTCGATTATGATACTCCAGAGAGGCACTTCGAGCAAAGGCTTTGGGGCACTGCTTGCACTTAAATGGCTTTTCACCTGTGTGTGCTCTGTTGTGGTAAGTCAGACTGCTACTGTTAGCAAAGGCTAAGGGGCACTGCTTGCACTTATAAGGCTTTTCACCAGTGTGTGTTCGATTATGATTTATCAGAGCACAATTATCAGTAAAGGCTCGGGGGCACTGCTTGCACTTAAATGGCTTTTCAACTGTGTGTGTTCGATTATGATTTCTCAGAGAGGAACTGTGGGCAAAGGCTTTGGGGCACTGCTTGCACTTCAATGGCTTTTCACCAGTGTGTGTTCGATTATGATATCTCAGAGAGGAACTATGAGCAAAGGCTTTGGGGCACTGCTTGCACTTATATGGCTTTTCACCTGTGTGCGTACGATTGTGGTGGGTCAGCCCGCTACTTTCAGCAAAGGCTTTGGAGCACCACTTGCACTTGAATGGCTTTTCACCAGTGTGTGTTCGATTATGATATCTCAGAGAGGAACTTTGAGCAAAGGCTCGGGGGCACTGCTTGCACTTAAATGGCTTTTCACCAGTGTGTAGTTGATTATGATGACGCAGATGGGAATTTTGAATGAAAGCTTGGGGGCATTGCAAGCACTTAAATGGCTTTTCACCAGTGTGCAAATAATTATGGTAGGTCAGAAGGGAATTACAAGCAAACTCTTCGGGGCAAAGCTTGCACTTAAATGGCTTTTCACCTGTGTGTGTTCGGTTGTGGTAGATCAGATTTCTACTCTGAACATAGGCTTTGGGGCATTGCATGCACTTAAATGGCTTTTCACCTGTGTGTGTTCGATTATGTCTTCGCAGAGAAGAATTTTTAGCAAAGGCTTTGGTGCACCTCATGCATCTAAATGGCTTTTCAACAGTGTGCAAATGATTATGTAAGGTCAGGAGGGAATTAGAAGCGAACTCTTTGGGACAAAGCTTGCATTTAAATGGCTTTTTACCTGTGTGTGTTTGATTGTGGTACATCAGACTTTTCCTCCATGTGAAGGCTTTGGGGCATTGCATGCACTTAAATTGTTTTTCACCAGCATGTGTTCGATTATGACAGGTCAGAAGGGAATTATAAGCAAACTCTTGAGAGCAAAGCTTGCACTTAAAAGGCTTTTCACTCTTGTGGTTCCGAGTGTTGCCGAGCACTTGGGACGAGCCATCATACATGGGAGGATGCTGGCACTTGGATTGTTCATCACCATGGGCAGCCAGATGGCTCAAAATTGCATGCTGATCTCTGGTGACATAGGTGCAGGAACAGCATCCAAACCAGATGTCTTCGGTGACTTTCAGGGGGCAGCTGGTTTCCCCTAACCATCTGGCTCCATCACCTACAAGAAAATACCATATATATTGACACACAAGGAAAGCCCAAAAAGATCCAGATGCAGCTGTCCTGTTTAATAATTTGCTGCAATTTGGAATTCGATTCACAGAAGCACTCATTTGCAACTGGCACCATTAAGTGGAGTCTCCAGTTTTTAAAGGACAACCGGCACGACGAGGCCCCTCACGTCGCTCACAAAAGTCCACTGCGTGTCCTCTTCAACGTCACACCGTTTTAAAGAATTTGAGATCGCTGAAAGAGCCCAAAGAACTTCAAACTTGAAAGTGAAGCGTTGTCTGCTTACAGCGATGGGCGGCAGACGCAGGCATGGAAAGGAGTGTTTGATCACGGAATGCGGGTGACACGACACTTCAGGTCGGGATGATTCGGAGGCGTGTGAAAAGCTCGAGTTGCAGGTTAACTCCATCTTTGACGCCACTGCACTGCTGCGGGTCACGCAGAAACTTTAAATTCGGTTTCGGGAAATTGTTTTTTTACTTAACAAATACTGTAAACGACTTATTTTTCGCGGGCTTAATATTTCGCGATTTAGGTCAAAGCTGAAGTTTTGGAACAATTCGTGGATTTTAATTTTCGTGAGGCGGTGGGATCTCAATCTAGATTCCAATGTGTTTACATTTTACCGGAATTGTTCGCAGGACTTATTTTTTGCGAATTATAGACGATTCGAGAATTTTGCAAAAATTAGGTCCTTGTGAAAATTAAGTCGTTTACAGTACTTAGTTCCGAACTTCTGAATCTGGAGGGTAATGTCCAGGCATCGGTCTTAAAGGACCCACGAAACGACATTTAGGCCGGGATAAATGAATTTAAAGTGGGATTTTACTAATAGCATATATTTTAGTGGACCAAACTAAAAAAAGGTAGAAAGTCAAAAGCCTGGCTTTTAGTACGAAAATCTAAAAATACAGAAGACTATTTTGTACCTCCTTCCCCTCGAAAGCTCTCTGCTTTTTCAATGTGAAACATCCACGGTACCCGAAGTATTCACCCGCCCTAAATGCACATCACGGGACATTGGACCTCACTTATCCCCTTCACCTTTAAGCTAACAGTGCAGTGGAAGCTGTGCACTTGCCGGACCAATCAGCTGCCTCCCTTGCATCAGGTGACCTCGTTCTCAGGTGGGTATGCGCGAGGGCGCGTGATCAAGTGGCAAAAGTGTAGCTGGCCGAACGAGCATGTAGCTTCCACAGCACTGACTGCTTCGGGGTTAATGGATTGCGGAAAGCAACTTTTGTTCCAAGTTCTAAGCGACAGGCTAATCTTCTAGGAGAAGAATGGTGTCCGGGTACACAAACCAGCATCCCAGCAAGAGGGGTTTCCCTTCTTTCCGTCTTCTTGAACTGTTTGGTACAATGCGCAATTTGTGAGTTAAGGAGAAAACTTAATGAGAAAAAAGTTGAAAAATCGTTTCAAGTAATTTCAGATTAAAAAAAACATTTTGACCTGTCAGTGCCCCTTTAAGGAGAAAGACACAGGGCAGCATAAGACACATACAGGGCTAGATTTGGAGATGCAGATAAAATGTGCCCTACATGTAAAGAAGAGGGAAACATTTGAACTTGCGATTCTAAAATGTAAGAAGCTTAGTGCTGCCGTTCCCAAAGGGGCGACAGACATACCGGGTGCCCCGAGTTTCACTGCAGAAGGTGGAAGTGTGGATTACAGCAAAGTAGACGCAATAATTAGGAGGTTAGAGCACCGGTAGAAATTATCTGGGGAAAACTGAACGAAGAACTAAGTAGCACAGATGGGGGACAGGAGGAAGATTGAGACTCCCTCCCTCGTGTCTCTGGAGCAGGGTCTCAACCCTGTGCCCAGTGGGTCTGGTGTTGGAGCGACGCCAACTAAAGATTGGCGACTCCCTCGATGGGGGAAGGAGAAGGGGGTGCGCATTTTGTTTTTTTGCCCAAATACTTAAGAAACACATGCAAAGAAAAAAAATTTTAAACAGCCTGGATGGGAAAAGGAAGTCGTAAATACATAAATAAAACTAGTTTACAACGAAAAAGAAAACTTTTTACATCTATATTTACGACACGAAACAAATTTGTAGTTAGCGCCCGCGGGCACCCTCGGAAAAGGGGCCGCTATTTATCTGTGACTGGTTGCTATTTATCACGTCTGGCTTGCACTCTTTTGAAACTTCCTATGGTCTCTAAAAGTTACTTATTAATCTTCGTTTGAAGTACAAGAAAGAACAAATATTAATAATAACTTTTAGAGCCCAAAGGAAGGAAGAGCTCAAGCACCATGTGATAAACTTGCGTGCCGGTCAGAAATAACGGTGGAGGCACGCCGGAGTGTTCCCTTCTGGTGGCTGCGGCAGCGGCGTGAAGACGCATTTAACCAGCGGCGCACAACGCTCAGCGCGCGTCAGCGGTCTAGCGCGGCAGCGCAGAGGCATAGCCTCCTCTATGCTGCCGCGCGCCAAGTAAGCAGCGCGGCCGTAGCCTAACGGTTATCGTGCTTGCCTACCACGCGAAGGGCCAGGGTTCGATTCCTGGCTGCGGCTACGCATTTTGTTGACACTGTAATGTGATGTTCTGGTGAATTCGAGAACCGTCTAGCTGATTCGAGTTTAGAATGTTCTACGCTTTGAACCTTCTACGTCGAATGCTCCAGAAGCCAACGCGTGTACAAAAGCGGCTCCGCGTGGTAAGCCGGAGCCAGTTTTCGCCCCAGCGTTCGACTCTGCTGCTACGCCGACTTCGACGCCCGCGACGCTCTGTTATTATATTTTGTACCCTTTTATTTTTGGCACAAGTTAGCCACATTAAACGTTTATTTATTCCTGTTTTTTTCTTGTTTATTTGTCACCACCCGTGACAATACGGAGAAAGCCTGGCACATCGACGGCAAAGCCATAGGGCGCGCAGCCGCAGAAAAAAGGTGAGGAGGAGCGCGCGAAGCGGTGACCAATATGGTAGCGCAGAGCAGAAAGGGCAGAGATAGTCAGCGAGTGCTTGGGTCATGAGCGGCCGCTCCCCGAACCAAGTTTGTTTTCGTGTTTTCGTCACCGTCGTTTTCGTACTTTGGGAAAAACGGCTGTGGCGATTCGAAAGGGCGCTGGTAACAAAGCACCATGCCGGTGGCGTCGGCAGAGTTGTCGGTGTGCCAGCGGAGCGCGCCGTCGTCGGACCATCGTGTCGTGCCGCGGAAGAACCAAACAGTTTTGACTAAGTAGTTTCGATGCCCAGATGCCGAGGGTACAAGTAACAGCACTACAGGATGAAAGTTCGGCGTCTCCAGCGAGCACTGCGGCCAACTGCGACTGGAAACGAAGGTGCGTGCGCGCGTCGCGAAGACGAACGCTTTTAGGCAAGAGACCTCCAGCGCAAACGAAAGCGACGACCGGGACCGTTGCGGAGACGTGGACGCAGGGATGGCGAAAGAAAAGGATTGACATTGAGTTTCTCTTCTCCACAATTCCAAAAAAAAAGAGAAAAAAAAATGTTTCTGCGTTTTGCCGCTCGCTCTTGTGTGGCGCTAGCAGACAAGCTTCCGTCCGTACCCGATTCCCCGCCCTTCCTCTCCAACTTTCGGCGGCCACTTTTTTTTCGCGACGTGCCAGGCTTTCTCCGTATAGAGGAAGCTATGGCACAGGTCTACCACGTGATCAGCGGCGGCTCCTGAGGGCGCCAACTACAAATTTGTTTCACATCGGAAATATAGATCTACATTTTTTTTTCTTCATTGTAAATTTGTTTTATGACATTCTTTTTCCATCTAGGCTGTTTAAAACAAACATTTTTTTTCCTTTGCATTTGTCCTTCAAAGGTCATCCCAGCAGTCACCCCCCGGCCTGGTGATATTGCCGCGCGCAAGGTCACGGACTTGTAGAAAGTTCTCGTTCATTCTTGCTGCGGACATAACTATCGTTCATCCTTGTTTTGTTGTTCTAGAAAGTGCTTGTTCATTCTCGCCCCGAGCGCGCTACGCTCGAACCTTCTCCGCCGAATCTTCGAGATAGTGACTCACTCTAGATAAGAGGCCGCCCGCGACCTTGTCGAGTCAGTTTCGCCCCAGCGCTCGACTCTGCTGTCTCGCCGACCTCGACGCTCGCGACGCTTTGTTATTATTTTCTATTCTCTTTTTGTTTTGGCACAAGTTCGCCACATTAAACGTTTAGTTCTTCCTGTTTATTTATTGTTATTCTGGTCACCACCCGTGACATTTTGGTGGAGGTGCGGGGCACCGCATGCCTGTACAGCGTTCCCCTCCAAGATCCCGCAGTGCAAGTCCGGTACCAAGCCCAGTGAGAAGACCACTCCCCGCGGAACCCGAAACTCGGACCAGCCGGCGCATCAAGGGAGAGGATCCTGAATACGGTTTGCTACTAGACAAGCCCAAGCCGAAGAAGACGACGATGGCCGACCAGGCGCAGGCCCCGGCTGCTCCTGCCGTCGTATACCTGCCCGTCGCACCCAAAACTCCGACGCCGTTCCACGGAGACGCACACGAGGACATCGAGGACTGGCTGCAACACTATGAACGGGTGGCCCGCCATAACGGGTGGTCAGCCGAGCACTGCTTGCAGAACCTTTACTTTTCGATGGAAGGAACTGCGAGGCACTGGTTGGAAAACCACGAGGCTTCTTTGACGTCGTGGGAGGTGTGCAAGCAAGAATTAAAGAAGACGTTTGCCTGCCAACACCGACGTGAGAGGGCCGAAGATCTCCTGCGAACAAGGACCCAAGACCTACATGAGAGCGTCACCAGCTTCGTTGAGGATGTTCTCCGCCTGAGCGCCCGCGCCGATCCTCAGGCTACCGAGGAGAAGAAGCTGCACCACTTGATGAGGGGTGTGAAAAGTGAGATATTCGGCGGCCTCATTCGCAATCCACCGACAACCGTCGACGGGTTCGTCACGGAGGCAACGAATATGGAACGGGCCCTAGAAGCACGCGCCAGACACTACCAGCGACACCCCGGCGTAACCACTCTGGCGACATCCGGATCCGACCTTGGCACCACCCT